TCCTACAATATACTATGGCGATGCGTTATAAATCGAACAAAATGTAAGGTGTGTAATGATAGTTTCCGCCAAGTGTTAATTTGATTAGTTTGTGAACAGTTTATTGGCAACAGCCAAAAAATAGTTCAATGATGAAAGATTTTCAGTCAGCACATTTCTCATGTTATTCAAGATGTGCTGTTGTGGGGTATTGTGTTATTGCTTAGCGATTTTAATCGGTAAGTATGTTGATAGGTATTTGTCTGTCTGTTTGTTTGTGTGTTTGTTTGTTATATGCACGCGATATCTCACGAAAGCGAGATTGAATCTGCTCCAGATTTTGCATGTGCATTCAACATATGTCGTACCAGAAGCCTATTGATTTTGGATGAATTATGTAGTATAATTAGCGAGTTATTAATTAATTAGTGGTGGTACACAAGGTGTCACTATGGAGTAAGAGTGTTGTTTTGGGGATCCCCTAACTTTCGATCGATAAGTCTTCGGTCTCTGACCGATATTCTCGTTTTTAAATTGGGTTGTATGCTATTATGATATTATTAATTGGTTATTTATTGTCCATTTATCAAGAACTACGCGCACCGACAGATTTATGTCTTATTGTGTACAATCAACATGAAAAGCCTTACCCCTGAATGCTAATACGGTCCTGATCACTAGCCGCTCGGAGTTTTTACGCATTAATTAAATATCTGAACAACCAGATGTTGTTGTTTCGATATATCTGTCCATCTGCTTGGATCTGTGGATTTTTTTATGTAATGTAACGTGCATATGACTCGTAGATGAAACCACATATACATACTTTGTATTCTTGTGAAATAATCTGGCAGTATTTGTACATCACTTAAATGACTGTATTTGTAAATTTAATTGGCTATATATGCATATGACTTTGGCGGTATATGTATATTTGATTGGCTGTATATGTATAAGAGTTGGCGGTATATGCATATTCTTGGCATTATATGTATCACACGTTACCAACCCTATCGAAAAATTTCAATTGATCAGATTTCTTTGACTTTTTGTAAGATATTTGTGTTCATTGTAGTTTCTGATTAAGTTGATTTCATAAAGAGCTCGTAATATACTTGTTTCTTAAAACCACAACAATTTGAGAATACCTCAGAACTACCCGTGATTTTTCACATCGTTATAACTTCAAATGAACGCTCCTACGAGTCAAAGAATTACAAGCCAACAAACATGAAAACACATTAAAAACACACGTCTATCAATATTACCATTTTACTTTGTATATACCGTCTTTAAAATTTAGTCGTGTGGAAAGTTTGATTAGAATTTGTAGTTAAAATGAGGATTACTAAAATTAAATGTGGTCAATGAATCATAGTTTATCTGAATTTTATTTGTGATTGTTGACAATAATCTCTGTCCTTAATAATTGTGATTTTTGAATTTGCAAGCAACTATTTTTCCGTGAAATTCCGTGTAATTTTAGGCATATGGTGCACGCGTTTCGCTGAACGTGAAAAATGTTGGTAAAGTGACAATATCTGATAAACTTGAATATTTTAAAACTTGAACTAAGTTAAAAGAAAAGTGTGTTCGATTGGCTAGCGACTTGATTTGGATATGTCTTCGACGTGAAGAGTACGAGTAGTTACTTATACCACCATTAGAGTGAAATATAGAACAAATAATTTGTACCATATGTTAAAAGAAATGGCCCTCATTAATTTCTTAGAACAATTTCAATATTGAATACCATCCCCTTTTTCAAGATAATGATTTCTTTTCGTCGCATGATTTATTTTAGATTAAATAACCAGACATGAGCATAAAAATGAGAATATACTACCTTCAGAAAATTCAATCCAAATTACCAGGATAGTGGCATGCAACAATAATTTTCTTCATAAAAGACATCTTTTTGTCTCATGAAAATAAAAATAAAAAATAAATTCAAGCCTGTGGTGTCCTAGGTACAACATGAAATTAAGTAATTCCGAGAGCCCGATAAGACGTCCCTCATCTAACATCTTCTACTATATTCCTATTTCAATTCAAGTAATTAAATCTTCACTGTTGTTTTAAGCAGAGGAAATATTCAAGACAACTTTTCCGGAAGATGACACCTGTGTTAATTTATCTTTTTGCTGCAAAGTTTAGAAGCTGAAAACATAATTCATCATAAATTTCATCATTAACAATGAACGTGTATTAAAAAGTTCAGAAATTGATTGATGCTCCTTTGGCTAAATTGATCTTGCTCGTGCTCCACAATCTGAAAGAATTTGTAATGTTTCGCGTGTTGGCTCTGTGGATCGCATCTGTCAAAGGCTGGTTGATATACGCCAGGGGTCGGCAACTTACGGCCCGCGGGCCGGATCCGGCACGCGGAGCAATATAATCCGGCCCGTGACGCTCCACTGAATTATAGTAACAAATTATAGCTGTTTTGTCGATTATATTCTTTACGCAAAAAAATTTACGTGAAGACTAAATTATATTATAACGTAACAAGTATATAATTCACAATTACTCGTTCAATGAGCATAATTTAATTATAATTCAGACAAATGGCAACAAAAAGCAGGAAAGTTGATGCTAAGTGCAAATGGTTTAATGGCGCGAAAAATATTTAAATGGTCAGTCTTCGCGCGCTGCTTGCAATTTAACTTCTGATCTGCGTGATAAAATGTGATTCATCGGTCATCCATTCGATTTAACTTTCTAAACATATGTGAGGCCCGCCAATGACTTGCAACCTTTAATTTTGACCCGCGAGCGACAAAAGGTTGCCGACCCCTGGTATACGCGGTTGGTATGGTTTCATTAATTTTAATACCTCAATATCTAGCAAACAAAATCATTTTTATTTCGACCATTATCATATCAAATATGGTATTTAACTAATTGAATACGAAACCAAGAATACAACACTATCAATGAAAATATATTCATTATTTTTTTTTCGCTGAAATATTTTTTTCTTCGAATTAGAGGTTTCTACAACTATATCATCTATATTTCTAACTGGCATTATACCGGACTATACAACCAAACGTTGGACTAAAAATTGGACTTCACATCAGTAATCGTGCCCAGAGATCCTGATCGTTTTGTCGAAAGTGAAACCATGTGATGCTGAATGTCACAACTGATTAACTTCTCAGTGTTTTGTGGTGCGTGTCACTGTGCTTGTCTGATTATAGGTTTTCTCGTGAAATTTTGTGTGGGCGTTGCTTCGCTCGATCTCGGCATTTGACCAACTAGATGACACCGGATTAGGAAAACGCACCATTGGGTACCTGAAAAGTGTGAGATATACGTCAATGACGGTTTCTAACGCGGAAAAAGAGAATTTCATAGATATATTTGTTCCTAATAACACTCAATAAAAATTAGGCAGAAGGAACTTCCAAATATTAAAATTGAGAAACAGTTCTGTGTTTACAAACTGCTTAATAGAGAAATAAGAATAAACGTGCAAATTTCAATTAGACTATAAATCCCTCAAGATTCTTAAGTAATAACGCTGCTATTAGATGCGAAACTGCTGTTTAAAAGTACTATTCAAATTTGGTTACTAAGGTACAGTCAACGTAAATACCCTTGCATTCAATAGGGTAACTTGATATGTTTTTTTTACAAATTCTTCTTTGCTAACCGCCCACGCTAACCGGCCCGGCTAGACAAGAAACAATCAGTAATACATCACTTTCTACCGATTGTACTTGACGTTGCGATCGTAGGAAGTCATTTTTGTAGATATTCAGTCATGTGTGACAAAAGCTTTTAGATCAAGTCTCATAAGTATTATTAAAAATTTAAACAACGTCAACTGTTACTCTACGAAATACGCAGAAGACAGCGTAGGTCAAACAAGACAATAACTAAATGTAGATGGAATTCGACTTATAAAAAAAAGCCTCGAACTAAGCAGGTTATTATTCACGTTTTAACAGACGAATGGAATTGAATTTGAGATAATACAATACTCATCAATAATTTAGTTGTCGCATCGACTTTGCAGAACAGATTAAAAGAAATACTGGTTTCTTGCGGCGAAACATCGATAAATTATCAGAAATAAGAATAACAGGCGCTTCCGTAGTATGTGAACCAAGATGGCGTACACCGGGACATAGTATGTGTACCAGATTGTGTTTAGGCCATAATTTTATTCCTATTTTTCCTATTTAGTTATATTACGAGTTCGAGGACTAGCCAAGTGACTCCCGTAGTATTTGTACCTGGAATTATGGCCTAACCCTGATTTGGTACACACACTACGTTCCGGTTCCGCCATCTTGGTTCACATACTACGGGAGTACCGAATAAAATGCCGTCATATTTGTCGTTTAAGTGTGCGATAAATTGATCGCGAACTTATCATTTATTAAATTGTATTTTTTTTTACAATTTCAAGGGATTTACTGAATGGACAGTTCATTCAAATCGCGTTGAAGACGCGATCAACTTATACTCATATGTTTTTAAGCCAATATAGTTGTTGTAGTCAAGGAACGGGAAAAATTCAGTTTAATAGTTATACATGATACAAGAGATAACGTTCAGCCAGTAGGTTTGCTAGTATACAATTTATTTTCTGATGCCAAGTACGAAACGATGCTAACGTGAAGAGTAGTAGTAGTGTAGTGACCCTTTTAATTGCCCCACTAAAAATAACCAATTACTGAAATAGTGAAGTAACCGGAAGAGTATATTCTATTCAAAGAAATGAGTAATTTCATGCTACACATGCCGTATTGCTCAACACGTGTAAAATATGACTGGGAAATACCTCGCTGTCGATTGTTATGTCTAGAATTTGTCAGTAGGCACGTGCCACAGCGAAACGGCATGTGATTCCTGTATCATATTCCATTTAGTATCACACAATATTGTCAACTTAGTGTTTACGGTAGTAGTTCACAGTGTAGTAGACGTGAAATAGGGTATTCGAACACAGTATAGAAAAGAGTTAGCTTCACGAGCGTTTACCTATATTATGAATGAATTTTAATTGGTGGTGTGAATGAGTAGCAATGGAAGATTAAATATTGAAGCTGTAAATGTAATAGTCATAATTTGTTCAAACAGAATCCAAATTTCTATATATATTTGTTTTAATTAGTATCTAATGTCAAATAAATAGTATTTGTGCATTCTTGGGCATAGAAATTCGATTACTAAGTATATTGTTAAAAACCTCGTATGTTCATTTTTAAACGTTTATGATTTTTAGCAAGGTAGCACGAATGTACTAATAACAATGAAATGGTAATCTTGTGATGGCCAGTGGACAGGAACGCTCTAACTCGGAGCAAGTGCGAGGACAGCAAAGAGCTGAGAACAGAGATGGCAACTCGTCAACGAATGGTAATGCTTGGCATGACTTACAATTACAGTTTACTTTGATTTGCGGCATTCATGTATTATCACATTTTCGAAATTAAAAAACTATTGTGAGTATTACAAGTAGCCTATAGTACGCATACCCAGAATCTTCTTCGGGGCGAATTTTTGAAAATAACCCATAAATAACGTTTATTTTTCATATTTTAGGGTTCCCAATATTTCAGTAACATTGCTACATTATTTTTTTCCATTTGTGCGGACTTTTATTTGACATCATTTTGCCTTTTTGAATGAAATTTTTATGATTCATCGCATTGTGGCAAATACTAAAAACGTTTTATTTTTTATATTTATTTTTCACCAGATCTTGGTTTAAACAAATAAGTATTCGCGTTCACTGGATCCAGTCGAATTTCCAGTCATTTCAGCAGTATGGCTACTGTCACAAAAAATCCCCTGAAAAATAACGAAGTATTTCATTGCGGGAACCATTATGCGATGTTGTCATTATTTTGTAACCAATCAGTGCTTTTCTATTGCACTTAGTGTTGTAAGAAATTATCATTTAATTTATTGTTACAAATTGTTGTGTAAATATGCGTAACAATTCTATCCATTCATTGATAAAATTCTTATAATTATTATTATAACATTATTATAAGTATAACTTGCAGGCTGTAGGTTGTGAATAGTAACTTTATATAAATATTATTTTATTGTAGGCAATGTATAATGTATAAACTACTGTATTACATTCATTGCGTGAATTGTGTTTCTGTTGCTTTCTAATTGGCATTGGATTTGAATCTTTCTCAAAACACGATGGCCGCAAAATCTCAAATGGAAATTCCCGTCGGTGAAAATGCTCTCTGTATCTTAGTGAAGGTTTAAACTAACCTAATCAATACTTGAGAACGCGTTCTCGATCCTAAAATTTCGTCTAACTATACGGTTGTACCAAAATTTTCTATGCGTCATACCAGTTTGACGCTGTTAAGCATTTTCAATAGGTAATCATATCTTTGTTTCGACATAAAACGTTTTGCAAGTTGTCGCAAGGTATAGCTGATAAATCAGGAGCGAGCGATGTTTTTCATTATGGTCTAAAACGTTATTTGACGCTACTGAAACACTTTGAATTCAATTTGTAATAAAAACATTAAGAAATTTGATTTGCGTTATCTTACCACCAAGCATGATATTAAAATGAATTTACAGTTAGTTCAATGATATATATTAGAACCATACATTGACGAGTATAATACATGCAACACTTGTAACCGAACGTATCAAGTATTTCCGGCAGCATTTTATGAACATACTTTGATACCACACTGGCATTCAAGGCTATTTAAAGTTTAAAGCCTTTCGCTATATGCAAACGTGATTTGTAGTGAACTGTAGTAAAATTAAAATAATTACTATTAATCGCCTTGTCCTTAGCCATATTGTGCTTACAAGTGACATGACGGTGTGAAACCATAGTTCATAAATAATAACGTGAACGTTGTGATTTTTGTCCGTGGTCTATTTTCTCTGATTGTTGTATTTATTTTTTGAGCAAAATGTTCATAACCGGTTTTGGGACTATTGGGAATTTATATGTTTAACTGCAAGCGTTTGCCATAAGACAGCAATGAACGAATTTTATGCATCAAGGTCTATGCTTCATTATTACTGATTTGATTAAGTTTGAACATAAATCTTGATAGTTATTGAAATATAATTGCTTACTTATTATACTAGTTTCAACTGCCCCGTTAATGTTTTAACCATGCTTTTTGATTGAATAATTTTGTTGCACTAAACATGAAAGACATCGTGAAATCAAGATCTTGTTTATTTATATTTTCAGCACTTTTTGACCTCACCGGGGCAAGTAACATGAATTTGGATTTACGTGGACTAGTCGTGCAGAATTTTCCAAGTAAGTCATGTTGCACGCATTTAACCTAAACGTATTGCACTTGCAAACCGGGAGAATCATAATGATACTCTTTTATGATGACAAAATCGGAAAAAACTTTTCCAATAAGTAAACTTAAAATTAGTTTAGTATATTTATACCTCATTTAAAGAAATATATGGAAGGTATATAAATAAGGATTAAATACCTTTATTTAGCTCTGTTACAATAATTAATCAGGTGTAAACATCCTGAAATTTAGAGCCTATCCACGTATTTAGTTCCTCTGTCAAAACATTAGAAATGCTTTCTTCTCATCATACGTTCTTCCTTACAGAATTACCAGCAGCAACACCAAGTGTTTTGTCACCAGATAGACAACGTGGTATGTCTATTTTAATTTTCAATTTCAATAAATTAGGTTCTCAATTTCTCGCATCGAATATAGGTGCAATAATTTTTGAATTTATGGTACATGTAAGATTTTCAAATAATCGAGTCTAAATGGTACCCACTATTTTATTTCCGTGGTCAACCGATAAATGAACCGTTATATTTTATTTGGCCTGCATTGTACTAGATTCTGTCTGTTTGCTTTCAACATTTCAATCTGAATCCTTGTAAGAACAGCTTACCATTTGCCATATAGCAGGCAAAAATAAACTTTAAAATTAATTCTATTCTGATACATAAATGGGAACATCGCTATCAGTATCCGTCCAATCACGACCGTATTTATTTATTTTATTGTTCAGATATGGAAGAGCAATTCATCGCCATTTTCAACACTTTCACGAATGAAAAAACGCAGGACAAAGTGATCTCTACGTTTCTGAATTTGAATAACCCCGACGAACAAGTCAACCCCGAGTTCGTTGTAACTAATTATTACCAAGGCGAAACGTCACCTACGTCAAGTGAATATGTGCCGACCCTGTCTCGAAACTTTGACCCCCATCGAGACGTGATCGGCCAAATTGTTCCATTAAAAAATATTTTAAATGGCGTAAGCTACGTTGCACTAGTTGCCAGTGCTGGTTCTGGTAAAACCATCTCTGCTAAAAGATTCGCCCGCATGGCATTGAGAAAAGAATTGTCATCTCTAGCTGGCGTGGTATTGATACATTACGTTAACATCGCTGAGTTAGATTGGAAATCAGCTCACACTGCCTTTGACCTTTTATTTGTGCAACCACTTGGAGCACGACTGAACAAAGAGCTTCGTGATTTTGGATTTGAGTGGATGAAGACTAATGCAAATAAAGTTCTCCTTGTTCTAGATGGTCTCGATCAAGCACCATGGTACATGAAAGAAGAAATCACCATATCGTATGATAATCCTGCCGCAGTCCCGGTTGTTTTTCATAATGTTTTAAATAAAGATCTTCTGCATAATTGTCGAATCGTCATAACAAGTAGAGAGCATTCTATACGTCACTTCAAGCAACCAATTAGGCCTCATCGTACCGTTACCTTATCGGGTTTAACCATTGAAAATCGAGAATACCTGATGAAACAGCTCGGTGGTGTACACGGCGAAGGGATTTGGAAACATCTTCAATCGCACTCACCCGGTCTTGTTTCTTTATGCGAAACACCTGCTTTTTTGGTATTCACTGCAGCAGTGTTGATTGACAATTTGGAAAATCCTCCCACTACAATGACTGGTGTTCTGACTCGAGTACTTCTCTATTTTCTAAATTCGGAGCAACAACGTGCACCAGGAGATATTGAGGAAACATTTGACAAACTAACATCACTTGCATTTAAAGGTAAACGAACAGAGATAATATCCAAGAGTTAACAAGCAAGCCATCTGGTTCCGGAGTGATTAGGCTGTTTGTAAAATGCGCTTTTGTCGGCCATTGTTCAATAATTATTTGCATGATTATCGTTTAATTTTAAATATATCTATTAAGTCTTAGACTCGAAGTAGACACTGCTTTATTTGTTCTGCTACATTTAGTAGCCCTATTACGGGTAAAATACAACCCCGTAGCCTAAGTAACATCAGACATTGCACATTTCACATGGCTTTCCGAGATTACAGCTACCATTCTTTAGGTTGCGATGCCGCTTCAAATAGATTATGTGCCATGCAATTTGCAATATATTAAATACACTCTGAACTACAAGTAATGTAAATTCAACTATCCCACGTTCTTCTGTAACCCACGTTTCTTCTGGTCCAATATATTCCTACTTGTACAGGTACGAGTGAACGCCGAGTCATTTTCAAAGGATCTGAGCTTCGTGCATCAGGTCTCTCTGTTGAAAAAGTGAGCGATTTTGTTGCGATAGCTCCCAAAAGAACCAAAACACATCATTTCAAATTAATGGAAGGAAATATGAATTTATTTTTTTGCCATCAATTGATTCAGGTAGGAGGTCTCTGTAAACTGTAAAACATTTTCGTTTATTAATAAGGGAATATCGGTGTTTAGGAGCTTTTGAGGAGATCAGTGTGGACTTATAGGCTGACGCGATGAAGTGAAAAAAAAATTAGCTTGTAGCAAGCTTTATCCATACAATGGAATCTTGGCATTTAAAAACAATTTTCTTGAAAATGAAACACGAGACAAAGTAAAAAGTAATCTACAAAACGTCAATTTATTCTTTTTTTTAATTTCCTAACTTCCTTTCTGGTCTTTTGACTTACAAGACACTAGATTTGCAATTTAAAACAAGTAATTAGTTAGTTTTATCGCACATATTTTAAATTACAAATTTCTCATTTTAGGAAGCTCTTTCTGCTTTGCGGGTAGCGCAACTTCCTTCTAAGGATTTCCAGACGTTTGTTACAGAACATTTCAACGATCCTCATTTCAAAGTCGTCATTCAAATCGTTATTGGCGTCATTTTAAACCCTGACATTGAAATCGACGATCTATGTGAGTTAATCGTAATTTTTGAGATTCCTGGCTGGACTTATTCACTCGTAACTTTACCAGGCAATATCGCAGCCAGTAAGTTATATTCAGTAGATACCCTTTAATAATAAATTCATCTTATTGATGAAAATGAAAGCATTGTTTCAAATTGTGAGTATCTGCCTCAATATTACAAAGGCAATATAATATATTCATAAATTATATTATCATGTTGTTTTGACGTTTCTTACTGAATTCCAACTCGTACACGGATCTCGAGTCAGCAGTCAAGAATATACCATAAAACTTATTTAGATACATTTCAGCTCAATGACTTTTCAAACCAGACGTTTAAGCCCTAGATACCAATTACCCATTTTGTTATTACAATAAGTGTAAGCAAATTATTCCAATAATAAAAATAAAGAATTTCGTTATTTCATACTCATTCATGTAATATTCATTTTCCATTATTACAATTAATGTCGCAAACTAAACAACACGATCAATGACTAATAAAATTTGGTATGAAACCTATACGCAATAAAGTTCAGAGGTGGGCAAGTTTTTTGGTCCAGGGGCCAGAAATTTTGCTCATCTAGACTGGCGGGCCATGTAAGTGTGTCGTAACAGTTACATTTTAGAAACGATATTTACAGTGTTACAAAAGCAAAAGTGGGGAACAATACGCTTCGGGCCAAAACTAAAATTTAATCGCAATTTCAACGCATTCCCTGACTTCATTTTAGCTAAAAATTTGGTTTCAATTTGGTTATGGCAGCATCAGGCGGGCCAAATTGAATTATCCAACGGGCCGGATTTGGTTCGCGGGTCGCAGTCCGCCCATGTCAGCATTAAACGTTCTAACATGGAACGTACGAACGACGACGAACCAAAACAAATGAAACGAAGAAGCATAATTGAATCATAGATGTTATGTTTGTAAAGCGATAATTGTAATAGCAAAAAAGGTATTGGTATCGTTGTCCGAAACGTCTGTATACCGGTGGCGGTAAATCTGGTACGATTAAAATAAACAATTATTTGATTAACAAATTATTTATTTAATCATAATGCATAGTTTAGCCCTATGCTCCACATTCATAATTTTGCGCTGAGTTCGCTTTCCTGCATTGTTTTACTTAGTGGTATTTTATTTCTCTTTACAGGTGACATCCAGGAAAAAACCAGCAAAGTGCTTATTTTGCAAACTTGGTTACGTGGGAAAGTGAACGCTGCTCAAAATCAGAGTTGTGCCATCAGAGAAGATCTACCATCTTTCTCACTTTTACATGAATGCGGAAATGGTGCTGAGGAGATTGTGAGAGATTGCGTACACTCAGTAAGAAGCATGGAAAAATTAAAAGGAGAGAAGTTGTTCGTATTTGCTTCCATACTCAATAAAACAGTCAACATTCAAGATGCTTCGTTTTCAACACTGTGTTTGAGCGACTGGGATGCAAAGATATTATTCGAAGGATTGAGTAAATGTAGAAGGGTAAAGGTAAGATATAATTACCAAAACGATTTTAATTAATTTCAGTTTCAGCTAGATATATAGATTAGAAAAATGGCGTTGTTTTCTTCTTTATTCAAATGAAATTATTCCGACATGTAAATCTTCATTAATTTTGGTTGCAAAAGAAACAAAATTTACTCGGAATAACTCTGACTTGCCTACTCTAAAATTGCATCGAGTTTCTTCGAACATTTTATTATTAAAATATTGAGATGCTTATAGAATTATTGTTAGAAGCTATCTAATTGGATAATTTAACGAGGTTGAGCACACATTTGCTGTAACTGACATATAAAAGTATAAACATTGAGACAATTTGAACCACACGTTTTTCACCTGCTCGAATTGTTGGATTAGATTGATCCGAGGATTAATCAAACATTTATAACCAGCTATTTTAAGATTATTTGGATTCTAAATCAAATATCTAAAAATTATAAGACGTTTTCCATATCTTGTTGTATATTACATCAATATTTAGGTAATGTTTTATCATTTTACTACAGATTCTTGTGCTACGAGTCAGTGAACTTCATAAAGAAGAGAGTTTTCAATTACTTGGCAAAATTCTGACAATCGCAGTGGTTGAGAATCTTATTTTCTCTAAGTGCTTAATAACGGAAGAAAAAATGTTCAAAATGAATTCAGCGATCGATATATCAATCCAGCAAGTGAGTTAACACTACTACAATATACTAACATACCAAGTGTATTTCCAACTAGAGAGTAATCTATTTCATGTAAAAACTACCGGCGTCTTCTAGCAAATTTTGTACCTTCTAGCACTGGATCACTCAGCTAAGACTGATAATATGTCTATGTTTCTTGATCCTATATCGTGTCTTGTTCCTATTCATGATTTCCAACAAATGCGGCTTTTTTGCAACCTCATTATTGCAATCCATAGCATATAGAGTCATTTGTGAATGCACCACATATACAAAACGTAGGCCTATATAGGGCCTGTGTTTTTTATAACCTGTATTTTATTTCATTATTTTTTTCTGTAAAGATTCAACAATAATTTACTACAAATACATTTGTATGTTGGTATCATACACGTCAACAGCAAATCAGTTTAGTAAGACTTATTTATATTATTTATACTTAATACTTCTTCAATTATTCAGGACGTAACTCTCGATTTCAGTGGTACATTTCAAATCGAGATTCGTGCTTTCTTTGCTATCGGTGTATTGGTGAAGAAAATAAAGGCTTGTGATATTCAATTAAATTTGTGTCAACTTTCACACGAAAAACTTTATTATCTTAAAGAGGCACTGAAAGGCTACGATCGCCAGGTAAGATATAGTTCACAAATTTGGATAATTGTATTTGTATGTATGTTCTATGTACGTCAAAAAACAATTTTTAAAGTCAAAGTTTTTGTAGTAAAATTGTGGCAATTTTTACTAAACCTTTTTAAGTAGAGTTGGCTTAGCCACAAAGAACAGCAATTGCAAGGCAAATGGTCAGCTGGTCGGATATTTTATCATTCAGCATTATTGGAAATTTTTACATGGATACTATATGTTCGCCACTTTTTTAATTGCCGTTGTCCGAGTGTTTGTTTACTATCCATTTTTCAAAAATATTTTTATTGATAAATGTGCTATTCTTTAGATCAAACAGTTAGGAATTAGTGGAAATGATGAAATGTATCCGGAATCAATGCGACATGTTGGAGAAATTGTGAAAATCGGGAAAACCGAACACATCAATGCCAGTCGATGTAGACTCAATTTAAATCATTTACAGGAATTTGAAAAGGGATTGCAAGGATATACAGGCCAGGTACATACATACATATTACACGTAATATCGAGCAGTTTGTACTTTTTGCTTCTTGTCTAATTTAAATATTCCCACCAGATCCTTTAACTGTATATATCTGTGTTATATATATTGTGTTTTTCATCTAGTTTAGTGGTGCTTGGCGCTTGGCCGTTACGCTTGGCTTTTACGGCAAATCAAAGCAGTAGTTGTGTCTTCAAATTGCGAATGGAAAACAATTATCGGTTTCATAAACGACATAAAAGATGTATATATTGTTTCATGTCTGTAAAGCGGAAGAGAATGTTAGAAGAGAAAGAGTTAATAAATTCCAGATGGAAGATGAACAAGTTCATGGTCGATATCCCAGCAAACTGTGGACATAAATAATGCAAAGTGGCATTTTTTAATTCATATGTTTTCCTCGGTCTTTGCAAAATTATCTGCCAACAAGCAAGATTAAGAGTCACTAATTGCTATAAATCAAATCAAGCATTCGTTCTGTAAAATCGTTGAAATTTCAACATTACATGAAAGTTTTAGTTGAAAGCAATGAGATATATTCCAAAAAAATATTTTTTTAATAAAACATAAAATAAATAAAAAAAAATTTATTCATCCGACGCAGATCGAAGTCGGAAGTCTCACCTAGTCAAACAGTTGTCCGACCAACTGACAACCTTGAGCTGTTTAGACATAAAGTATTTACCGCCAAATTCAATGTTACAAGTGTATAAAAACCTTTGACAGATAAAACGTTTGGATATCAGTCGAAATGATACAATGACACCTCGAGCTTATCAACATATGGGAAGCATTTTGATTATTGGAAAAGTTCAAAATCTTAATTTATGTCACTGCAAACTGGAAACTTACAACCTTGGAGCATTAAAAGAACATTCAAATGGATTTTCTGGGCATGTGAGTAAATTTTCAACTGTCAAACAAAAAGCAATGCTCAAATATATGGACATGAAGGACAAATGAAGTATAGTATCAAATTCTTCACAGTATCGGTAGTCTGACCATGAAAGCGGAACGCCACGCGGTGCGCAATTTGTAATTTTGATAACGTCATCACACAACACTTCAAAGTAGAATTAAAATATTATAAAGCCCACAGACATTTTAAAAATAAATAGAAGTCGTTTAGCAGCAAAACAATCTTTAATCACTAAAAATTTCAAAGCAATTGATCCAGTATTTAAAGCGAAAAGCGATTCACAACAACAATATTAACAACAACATGAGGAAAAAAACGCAGAATACTAACAACAACAACAACAATAATAACAAAAATTTATCAAGACGATGCATAGTCCACTTCGTGTCCAATAATGTCCCGATGAACACAATGTGGAAAACACGATGAGTGCTTGATTTCAACACTCATTTTATTAACCCTGTATATGTGAACGAAAATAAATTTTATCACTATAATTGCGATTCAACTTAAAATGTCTTCGACCAAAATTGAAAGTTTTCATTGCAAGGTGATATGATGCCATTCAGAAATACTCTGCATATAGGCTAAAATATAGCTGCTGAAGTATTCAGGCTAAGCCTTCTATCAACTACCGGAATATTTAATCAATGTTGTGAAAGAAAAGTTTTATTTTTTGCTTGTGGAGCGTGTTTATAAAAAAAAGGTAAACGTATTATTTTGAAGATGGAATCACTCGATGTGGCCTGGAATGGAACAAACATTGATTACAATATCCTTGGCCAAATAGTTGAAAACTGGAAACTAAAAGAACTCATTTGCCATGGTTGCTTCAACGAACAAAGACATTTCGATGATTTCTTCAGACCACTAAGAGAAATGCGCAATAAGGTATAACTGTGTATAAAATAACGTAAAAATATTTTCATTTTATAAATTCAGGGTATTGAATTAATTAACTGCTAGGTAAGTGGCCAAAATATCTGAAAATAGAATAATATAATGCATACAATTATTTTTAAAATTTCCAATGAAACTTTCTGATTTTTTAGGCAACAATTACTACGAAGTATTAATTATTGATTGAAGGCTAACCAAAAGCAAAAAAGCTAATCTTCCTATTAATTAGGTTGATGTAAAAATAACAGGATTTTATAACAGAATCTCGCAACGTTTCAAATTTGAGGGTATTCCTTAATTATTTAATTGAAGGCGTGCATTAATTTTAATTTAGGTAATGATAACACACGGATCTGAAAATATTCCAAGCACAACAACAACTGTGGAAGAATTCCGACAAAAAATATCGAGAGTGACCAACTACCGTGAATGAGACAGCTTTGGTGCCTGTTAATTTTTTATATGATATGTTACTTGTTTAGCACGTTATATTACTATCGATAACAACAATCACTTCTGGGGGCGCAAACCCCATAAAATTGCAAGTCTTGACCCTAAAAATGTTTTTCAAATTTAATAACAGGGCCAAAATTACTTGAACACCCAGTTACGCGTTTTAATCTCTGACGTATGAGATAACTATCTGTCTATTAAATGAATGCCTGCAAAGATGGTTTACACAAACATTCATATACATGTTTCAAAATCAAGTGCGATCCGACTTGTCAATTTTCATTGTAGTACAGATGTGTTTTTGTATGTTATAAATATATTTAATTAATGTCACTGTGTTTATTCCTAGAGTCATTCCAGTCTTTTAGGAAATATAGTCTTTAGGAGAGCACCATTGGAGATGAAAGTACTGTTAATTTGAATTTATCTTCTGATAACACTTGGCGATGTATATTTAACATAATGTTCAATTGAATTCCTCCGGACATCAACATTTATGTACATTGCAGGAATTCTTTTCAATTCACTGGTCTTTCTTTCAAAGAGTCTCTCAAAGAGTAAAATTATGAACGATCTTTTAAAGGTATTTCCGTCTTTATTGATACCATGTTTTAATCCCGAAAGCGGTAATCTTTATAGTTAAATGTTCGTCTACAATTCGCGAGTCATGTAATCCGAAATTGAAAAATGGATTGCTGTAACATAAAGGTTTATTCAACCTTGTCTCGTCTAATTCAGTGAAAATAAATTCACCTGGGGGGCAAATCTATAACAATTCCCGTCCTTGGGATCTCGGAGAATAAATGGTTGTCGACTAAACGCTAACACATCCCACACGAGCCACCAGTGCTGGATTTACCAATAAGCAAAATAAGCACGTGCTTAGGGCACCAGGGGAAAATGGGGCACGGCACCACTGAAGTTTCTATAGACGATTTTTTAATGGGGCACCAGTGTTTAATGAAACAATTCGAGTTGGTCAGACGTCACATGCCTCAATTTTGGCCCGATTGAAATAAAGTTCCAATGTATCATTTTAAACCTATCTATCAAAGTTTGTAAGTATGGGGCTATGAGATCTGTTTTCGAAATAAAATTATTCAAATTGAACGTAACTTGGCCCTCAATTAATGGATACTAAAACTTACTTGTTCAATTTCAGATATCATTGAAAGCCAGTTTCTATAATAGTATATAATTAATATATAATTATATATGTATATATGGGGCACTAAAGTCTTAGGTGCCTAGGGCCTCTAAAAGACATGATCCGTCCTTACATGCGCTTTGCTTCCTCTCTTTAGAGACAAATATCAAACCTCGACCTTGTTCTCTTTAAAAGACAAAGCTTGTAGAACGCATACTTAAAATACGCATACTTTGTCACGTACAAAGCAACAAATTCCTTTTATTTGAAAAAAAAAACACAGCGCGTTTTTTCTTTATTTATCAATAATAACAGTGATGCAATAAACCATTTCTACATTAGACTAGATATGTGGATACACTGGATATCCCTTACAAAGGTTGTAAAGTTTCACAAAGATAATAAAACAATCTTCCGCAGTCTCTCCCGGTAATCGACCAATTTCTTCCATAAAACAAATATCCACATTTTCGGTTTTTATTTTCGTTATCGGGATACCCGGACCTCCATTGCGTGTTGTTCAAAGTCGACAATACTTGGTCAGACCAAGTCCAACTACCGTTCTGCTGAATGTTATCCAGTCCAATCCAAGTTTGTTGGGAGGTTGAATCAAGCAGATTTTGAGTGAGATCTCTGTAAATCGAAAACAAAAAGCAGATATGTTGAAGATTCGTAGGGCTGTGTTAAAGGAAGATTTGGAACAGAAATGCCAATCGTTCCTAGGAAAGAATTATTATCCAACAAAACATGGTATAGGAGAAAACTCACAAGATCTTATCGAAAATTTAATCGCTACAAGATATTCCCATGGTTTCAATGAACCTTGCTTGTTTATTATGATATGTTGCTTACAACTATACAATTTATGCGTCACGCAAAAAATATTTTATTAATGACATCCGATTTATTAATCAAAAATGTCCCTTTTTATGTAAGTTATATAAAGACAATCCCGTCAAGGAGATCGTGGGTTCCATTGCAAGTATGGTATGTATGGTGCTAATTTAGGTTAATATTACCTTTTAATTTTTTGCGACCTTATGCCAACGGACGCCAGTCTACTTCCAAGAACTTCACAGTTTTTGCGAGCATTGGTGTATTCTACTTTATTTTGAAACACTTTATACCAATATCCATTTTCTGCTTTGTACCAATTATACATTTCTAAAGTCTTTCGAAACTGCAAATTTAATAAAGAAGTATTAAAAAATGATTCATCAATAGCATCAATCTTTCCGTAACAGATCATGTCACTCCTTTAGATTGTTTAGTATAATTGCTATATTTATATGTTTTATATGGTTCTATTGCAATTCATTACTGTTGATCTCATAGATTGAATTACATGTGCATGATTTTTTTAAATTGCATTAAATGGATGAGATTAATACATTAATGGGACATTGTATTACGGGTATTTTTAGATACAAAACACTACACGACACTGTAAAATGTTGCTAATTTCCTAGCAGGAACTTAAATGCATTATCACAAATAGCCTTCATACTATTTGGCAAACAAAAAGTTTATACTAATCGAAAATCTCAACATTCAACTAACTATTAACGTAATTTCGGCGTAAAAAGGGCCCCAATATGGAGGTAACTAAATTTGTTCGCCTGCTTTACATCAAGTTGTGTAAAGGAACTGATTACTATGAACAGGGGGTATATTTACTTGACTAACACAGACAGTCCCCGAACTCGTAATAGAACTAAAATAGGGAAAATCGGAATAAAATTATGGCCTAACCCTAACCTGGTACACACACTGCGGGAGTACCGTGAAAGTAATGATTATTAATTATAACCATTATTCAACAGTGTGTCATTTTACCTGATTTTCCCTTTCACTTTCAATGATTTTCATTCGCTTCTCCAAATTCGTGAGCATTTCCAACGTTGTTTTATTATTTGAATCTGTGGAGTATTTCAATGTAGACTATATATATATTTTTTACTATTAAAGTATGTTAACATGCATCGTCACATCCTCAAATCATTATCACACTTCATCATACTCGAAGAAAACAATGAGTTCGGCTATAGGAAGTATTTTAAGAAGCTGTGTATCTAACACAATGCTACAACAATGTGAGTTTTTTTGCTACGACTTATATATATATGAAATGATAATCTTATGATCGATCGATACAGGCTTTAATGAAAACTTGCCAAAGTAAAACACCAAGACGCGATAAAACTCGTTTTGATGTTCTATGTGATTTTACTTACCTGTTTCTCGTGATTCAGCAACTACTGTATTCTAAAATATTTAGATAAATTGAGATTAGCAAATAAGCAAATATACCAGATGTCATCATCATCACACGATTTACAAGTAAACAAAGTAAACAACGACTTCAAATAATAAGTTTTTGTTCAATTCAAATATATATATTCAGGTGTGTTGTTTTTTTATGATCAAGGTATATGAGAGATCAACACAAAGGGAAAATAGATATATAGATAGACGACGTGTAAACTAATGTTATAATTTTTTCTATTTAAACCTGTCCATCTGAAAACTGGGTGACAAATAGACTAGACTTGGAACCTTGATACCCAACTTTAAGTTCCCGTTTCCCCTATTTTGCATCCCCTCATTTCTCCCTCATCATGTAATGATAATACATAGCTCAAGGTTAGAGATTATACTAAATTCGTATAGAAACATCGTGGCAAAGATGAATTCAACACTGAGGCACACACATGACAGTGATGGAAATGGTCCTCGAATAGGAATAGCGACATGGTCCACACCACAGCGAAGACATCAATGATCTTTTCATATACTTGGGACTAATTCATGTTGAAAATGTACCAAGTAAAAAGCAATCATGTCTTTTACTTAATGAAATTATCTGAAAATTGTAATATACCTACTTGTGTATACATTGCAAGACTTGAAATTGCAATTGCTAATGCCAGTATCACTAACACTGTCAACGTGATCATTATAATATTCGTTTTTCTTCTCCATATTGTTTTTATGAAATTGTCTTCTCTTTTTTCAGTGACTAGAAACATGAAATTGAGTTAGGAAGAGTTATGATGCACAACTCTTAAAGCTAAATTACTATGACAACCATCTACCAACCACAACGGTCAATGAACAATGACGACTATTTCACTGTCTATGAACTTCGCGAATGTGGGAAAAAACTTAGGAATTTAATTTCTAATTTACAAGAACGCAATACAGAAAAAGACCTTTATGCTGGAAGAAATATGTGTGAATATAGTTGATTAGAATAAGGCGACCTTCAATCGATTTTTTTAAATAAAATCCAGCAGATCCTATCACTAGTAAATATAACTAGTATATGTTCAACTAAGAAAATTATCAACTGTGCCCTGTACTGCTATGGTATATATATTTGATGCAAGAATATTTCAACAATTTCAGGATATTGATTTAGTCTGATTTTGAGAAAAACTCAGTTAGATGAACCAAGCCAATGCCCAACATAACACAAAGAGAAAATATACCTGTTTGACAAATATGACATCCATTGCCAGATTGGTGTGGTCTTGCGTAGATAGCATCTGGTACAAAATATATACCTTCTGTCTTGTCAAGTGATTCGTTAGATGGTGGGTCTGGCAAGGGTTTTTCGTACGGATTACGCCCGCCTTGGTCAATATCGCCACCAGTTGAAACTTCCTCTGACAAAAAGTAAGAAAACAAAAATGAATTATTCCGGCAATTATTCTATACGTTAACTCTATTTGCAATCGAATGTGTGTACGATAAACAGAATCAACAAGAAAATAATTAATTATGATTACATATAGTTGATGATTGCATATAAATGATTTCCCCATATGCGCTTCATTCGGAAAAGAGGATTTTTGAAATTTTGAAAACGTTAAATTAGCAATAAGGTTTCACAAGAATGAACTATTTTCTCCCTTTGTGCAAAATAAAATCTAGATATAAACTTGCTGATCAGGAATTAAATCATACACGCCAGTGACCACCAAGTGATTCGGCTTCAATATAACGAACCAATGGCAAATAAAGAATCATTATCGATGTTTTATATTAAACGTGTTTTACGAGCCTTCCAATGCCTTACGGGCTTATATTTCGTAATTTTAGTTATTGTCGCGACCTCTGCAAATGATTAATTAAGTTCATGGGTATTGCCGACAATAGAATTTTGTGTGTTCAAAGTAATGAAATAATACTTGGATAAAACCAGATTTTGATACTGAAGTTGTCCCAATCGTGCTCTCCATCCTAGGTTTAACAATGATAGGTCCCTAGATTCGAGCGGCTATAAATATGTCGAAATCTATTTATATAAAGTTGTTAACTGTTACTACACGAACGTCCTTATATTGGAGTTAAATTTTGGAGTTGAGGTTACTCTGAACGTTTGATGAACAAAATTATATCACCGTGATCACGCTGAGATTTCAACTGATTTGTGGGACTGGTTTCATTCGCTGGTCATGAGCAATTCTCCATTTACTTTTAACTCTATGGCAAATTCAAAAATAGCAAACTAGTTTTATGATGTAGTTCGTTTCCAATATCAATCGAGTAATTGAAAAACAATGCTTCTCACCATCTATTGATGCGTTTTCATACAACGACATAATCCAGTCCTTTTTGCTTTCTTGTTTGGAATTGTGAAAATCTTACACTGACTTAGAAGTGATTTGTAATTTTAAAGTGAGGCAAGCTTTATATTTTACAACTAACAATACCCGTTATCACTACATCATATAATGATATATGACATCAAAAATCTATATGAAAGAACAGATTAACTAACATTTATTACACATTAAATCAGACTTTGATTCGTTCAGCAGTAATATATCAGACAACGTCTGCAAGCTTTTAGAAACGTACTAAGATTATGATTATCGCCTATCATAATTTGGTGTCTTCGGTTTGGTAATTTTAAAATTAATCAATGACCATTTTCGAGAAAATTACACCTTATCCTGACTGACTTAAAACGTTGAACTTCAACGCGTTTAAATAGCCTACTTAGCAATCACTTACACTAAATATAATAATATAATATAAGATTGGTTTAAAAAATTCTATTATTTCTCAACGTAAGTTATTTAGCTATAGGCCTTCACCTTTATCATTTATCTATGCTTGATTAAATAATACCTGATTGAGCTGTCCAAAATAATACCATAATCATGTCTTCGGATATTAAATATATATTCATTAATTTCATTTTGCCATAATATTTGCATTACATTTCGTTATTTTCTCATCTGCAAGATCAATATATTCTCATAGAAGATAGATTGCGATACGTTTTATAGAATTAGTCAAAAACTATATTTTAGTACGGAAAAGAAGACTGTGGGTCATAAATATTTAAGCATTTTCAGCATTGATGAGAAACTTGCTGTTGCATCTTTTATGCATGTCTTATAATCTTTGCTTAGTATTGTGTAGTTTTTATCTTCACACAAACAACACCTATATCCCGACTGAGGTGATTTCTGATACTCGACTCACGTACTCACTCAAAAACATTTTGCTTTTGTTCCTGTACCTGAACTGAACTGCTGAAACAAGACAAGCGAGAAATGACCAGGTTAACTGTATTGATATGTTACAACAGCGGTAATAGCATCTTTGCTAGCACATGCACACTGGTTTGTTGTATAAGTTCACCTAGTAAAAACTATATATATAGTATACTGTTATTAGCTTTTACTATAAGCAAGTTGCCCTAAAGTTATTGTCCATGTCTGAAAGCTGATTACCCAAATTTGTGATACATTCAAATCGAACTATTGACTAAGATTACGACTATACGTCGATATGAACAATGTGATCACGCGTTTATAATATATAACCAGACAAAAACTTGGAAATGAAACAGTGATAACACCAAAGCGATGAAAAACAGAAAACCAACTGTTCTCACTTCAAGTCCGACTTTACTAACTACCTGAAGGTTGTGAAGCAAAACAATCTAGAAATAAATTGCTCGGCAAATGTTCTTATCTGATTTAGGATAGAATCTCAAAAATAATAATATTTTAGGGTGGGCACTTAAAAACACACATCTAATCTTTTTATTATATTACTACACTAGATGTTAACTTATTTTAAATGCTTGCCAAGTATGACTCACAGATAAAATGTTTCTTTGGTTCCACGTTTTACCTATGGCCAGCACTCGGTAATAGATGTTTAACACAGCGATAAAACGACGACATTCTGCCCTAGGCGTTTGTGTTAGTACGAAGCAAACGTATTTTGGGTTTTGTAACTTGTAAGACATGTCAATGTAATTTATAGCGTCATATCAACAATTAAGTTATTAATAAACCGAGACAGTTAAAATCATTTTACGAGGTGTGATATTTATAGATATTTAAAAAAAAATAGTCATAAATGTTAAATATATTTACAATGCTCCTTTCCTTTCAGTATATCAGAGTTTCCAAAATTTAGATATTCCATTTACAAATTTTCATTTCGAAGTTACCTTATCTTTATAAACTTTTCCAATGTTATATTTAAAAGAAATCGGGCATTTAATATATCTATCACAAGTTCTACTGAAATCTTATTTTCCTTCCATATAATTGCTCACAATTCACATCTTTTAACTACAATTTTTGTACGGAAATTCCCATCAAGAAGTAACGTTGAGTTTTGCGACAATCGATATCTGATTCCGCCTGAAATACAAATGATACAATACAGTGAAAATGATTGATAGTACATGATAGCTCTCGGCACATTAGAATTTACCTGTAGTTTTAGTTTTTATTAAGTTCATTGAGACCTGAACATAAGCAATCATTCAAAAATGAACAGTATTTTTTAAGTATTTTATAAAAATTATTTTTATCACTGTAAGTCATAAAACTTATCACATAAAATACTGTACATTTTTGAGTTTCATAATATCTTTACCCGCCTTTGTTTTAATTATTTGAGTCTTAACTGCATAAAACAGAGCTATGCTTTGATTGTCACGATATATATTAAGGCGAACATTATCAATTTCAAAATGACATTTGAATATAGTGTCACCCCTTACACGTCCTAATTAAAATGATTTATTTCTGTTATTTTGGCATGCAATCCATTCTCGTAATCGTGACGTCTTCATTTCAAATGATGATAGAGCGAGAATAAGTTTGTCATTGATGGAATGAAAGTTAGTCAGTTCATCAGTTTTTAGCTCCGTGGCATTTCCAGCATGTCTTTTTGTGGCAAATATGAGAAGATAAATGGTAGAACAGTGTTTTTTTTCTAATTGTAAGATTTTTGATGAGACTTTTCTACAACAAATTTTGATCCCTTGAATCCAATATATTCAAGACTGAATAATATTATTTACAAATTTTTTTGTGTAAGAGCATTTCGATATTTTGAGATACTAATACGAGTGAGGCATTGCGGCAAAAGCCAGCGAATATTTATTTATCGCTAATATATCGTTATTCGACTAACTAACGCCAGATTAAGGAGTTACCTTACAGCAGAAACCTCTCTCTCTGTTGAGGAATTCAGTATACTTCTGATAAGGGCAGTGGTTCAAAATCTTCGATTCGAAACGAGGAGGAAAATTAATGCAGGGTGATTTCGACTCTTCAAATGGAGTGTCAAATAAATAAGTTGTGTTTACTGGAGCCAGTGGCCGTGCAAAAGGGGGTATTCGGCTTTATCTATAAGTTGAAAGATTATTGAAACTATAAGTAGATTTAAAAATAATAATAATGAACTTTTTTGGGCTTTCACGTAAAGATTATTTTGACTTGGAAAAGGAAAAATATTGCCAAAAAGTTATTCTCTCTCAGTTTTACTTACTCCTACATTATACATTCAGCTAACTGAGAACTTACTTTTAAGGTTCTAACAATTAAAGGTACATCACTATTTTTACAGATTGACTATAATCTAGTTACTGCTAATCATGAGGTTATATTGCTCAATTGTATTAGCATTTGCATTTCTGTCAATTCGTGCGAAATGTCAAATACCAAACGTTTACGAATTTTGTTCTGCTTTGATGGAAGATAGAAGGCCTAATCATTCTCAACCCGGATGTAGGAAGGAATGTCAGGGAAGACCAGGAAAAAGAGGACCAATCGGTGAACAAGGCCCACCTGGATTGAAAGGAGATCAAGGAATTCAAGGAACATGCGATGACGTAGAAGAACGCCAGAGACTCTTCGAAGGTAATATCGAAGTGTTTGTTTTCAATGCCACAATTTCGCTGATAATAGTAGTTACGGAGCCTATTCCAAAATAAATTATTGGTTTCGATTTCAATATCATCTAGTTTGCAATAAAAGATGTTGAGAGTAAAAAAGCAAATGTAATCAATAAATGATTTCTAATATTACTGAGATTTATTTAAATGCTCTACGTGTGTATATACATATATTCTTATTCCTATTTTGATCGTCCATATTTTTTAATACTTTCATTCTAATTTTACAGCGGAAATGAAGAAAATATTTGATCTCATCCCCAAACGTGAGTAACTCCCTACAAATACTTATTTTTGAATCTAATGGGAGAATAGTTTCATTTCTCTTAATTCCAATACCAATTTCCTTAGTCTAACCATACTAACATAAAAAATTCAATATATATCTTCGTTTGTTAAATTCATATTAAGTAAAATATGTTTTAAAACGGAATCTTTTAAAATGAGACTGATTTCATTATGTAGTGCAGCGTTTCTTAATTTTTTTTTGTTCCGGAACACCTGCGCTTTTTATCTCGTCTCGCGGAACACCAAGAAATTAGAAGGAAACATTGGTAATATGAAAATCGTTTATGGATTTACTTTATGCATCAACTTGAACAAGCGGCCATCGCTTGAACATCGCAGCATCTTTAGAGGCTTCCAGTTTTAAACTAATCATTGAGAAGGGAGGCTTCTAAAAAATATGGTAAAATTAAAAAGTTTGCTGCAAACTTGACAATTAAAAAAACGAGAATATCGTTCAGAGATCGAAGTCTTATCGATCGAAATTTAGGGGGTCCCCAAGACCGCGCTCTTACTCCATAGTGACACCCTGTGTCCCATCACTAATTAAAAAATAATAACTCGCTAGTTATACGACATAATTCGCCCAAAATCAATAGGCTTCTGGTCCGAGATATGATGAATGCACATGCAGAATCTGCAGCAGATTCAATCTCGCTTTCGTGGGATATCGCATGCATCTAGCAGACAGACAAATACCTATCAAGATACTAACCGATTAAAATCGATAAGTAATGACCCAACGATATCGAACAGTAAACGAAAACGCTATGTAGAAACGCTGATGTAGCGTATTATCTAGGCTCATCAGCATTGGGTGTCATAATGGATTTATTCTTAACAAAATAAATGAGATTATTGAGTAAAATAATGGGCGCTCCGTGAGAATTCGTACCAAGATGACGCACAACCTGAACAACCCTAACCTGTTACACATACTATGTTCAGGTTGTGCCTCATCTTGGTACGAATACTTCGGGAGCACCAAATAATGTACTCTATGCATAAACTACTTTTTGAGGATCCATATTCTTGAGAGGATCGCTGGACTTTTCTCTGTCAAAGGTTGGTTAATTGTAATGTCGATAAAACCCGTAAAGTTCCCAACACTTGTTATTTTGTTTTGAAATATTTTATACAACCACGAGTTTTTCTAATATATTCCTTTGTTTTTGCAGTGTCCTATTGCTCTTTGGGAATGAAAAGTAATGAAATTCCTGATGAAATGATCACAGCATCTTCGTTTGTTGATCACCGATTTGCTCCACATTTTGCCAGATTGGACAGTAGAGTTGGACTTTCAACAAGCGCAACTTCGACGATAGAAGTTGCATCTTGGTGTCCGAAAACAAGTGCTCTCAATTAATTGATTTCTTAGACATGTTTATTCCATTTTTCTTGATGATTTTAGATAGAGCATGAAAATACACTAAAATATGATGTAATTAGAATATTTGAAAATGATTTATATTTCCGCATTTCATATATTGCACACAAATATACATTACTTATGGTTTTATAAACGAGCATTGACTTGTGGGTGCCAATTTGCTATGTGATCGTACTTGCTTAATGTGATCTGACCACGATTGGAGCCACTTTTGTATGCTTTTAATCTCATAAAGATATTCTCATAGAATTCAGTTCCCAACCCTAAATAAAATTCTTGAGATCACATAATCAGTGAGACGCATACCGAAGTAGCATAGTGTTTTGTATGGTATGCATAACTTTAATTTTAGCATTTACTTCACCTCGACTTACATCCTTTTTGTAGAAAACATTTCGTTTTTTATGTATATGCAAAAAATTCACTCATAAACCATATACAAAGCTAATCAAGAATTATTTCTATCAAATTGATGCAATTAATGTGAATGTGAATAATTTCTAGATCCTGATTCGATTTATATATCGAATAAAATCAACATTTCAAATGTATTACACAGATAACGTAGGTGAATGGATACAAATAGATCTCGAGACTCCCAAATCCGTAGCTGGAGTAGTTATTCAAGGAAGGCCGAAAAACCAATGGGGAAACCAATGTTGGGTGAAGACATTCAAGATATCTTGCGGACATACTGTGGATGAATTGTCAACAATAATGGAAAATGGGTCTGAGAAGGTAAATAATAATTGGAATATTATTGATAACAGTTCTGACAGTTTGCTAGAATTAAAAATTATTGGAAAAGTTTGATTTGCAAAAATGATGTGTGTATTAAAAAGAAAGACATGATACAATTTTTTGTTGCAGATTTTCGTCGGAAACACAGACAAAGATAGTCACGTAATCAAACTTTTCTCTACGTCAATGACCTGTCGATTTGTTCGTCTGTACCCGTTGACGTGGAACACGGTATCTCCGTGGGTCAGAGCTTGTCTCAGAATGGAATTGATCAAAGGAGAATGTCATGATTTGTTTTAATCAAAAATATTTTCATTATGTTCACACAATTGTACAGTTTGATCTTTATCGCCATGGCGATCAGTTGAAACAAATAATGACTATATGAACTAATAAATCCCAGAAACTACATATATATATATATTGTTCATAGCTACATAGACACATTGGTGGTATAGTCGCATGGATGTTTTGTTTTGAATAAGCAAAATTGTACGAGTCCAGAGGAGTTTGTAAACAATTAAAAAAGTCATTGACTAATGTAATTTGGAGAAGATTGTTGCAATATTTGCAATATTGCAAGACTTTTATACTTGAAGTCGACCGAAATGTCCACACAATTCTTTTACTGTATATATATATATATTATATTCTTTTTCAGTAATCCTATCAACGACCGTTATACATCAAGTAATTGGCTCCGATTGTCTGCCAACAGCGACCAAAGTATAGGCATAAAAATATTCTCAAAATCTGCCATTCTATAATAAAAAGTTATTCTTTGAGTGTACACATGTACTTATACCGCTGGTGTAGAACAAGCTATATAAATGCGTGGCAGGTGAGACAATCGGGGCAAGAATGGAACACGTGGGGCAGTTGATACAAGACCTACGACTGCGAGACACGTTTGACAAGTGGGGCACATTAGAACACGTGGGACAAGTAATATAGCCTACAGGGGGTCAAGTGCTTGGCAGGTGAGAAAAGTAGTAGCCTACAAATATTACTAGTTGAAAACGTTGCACGAGCGATATAAGTAGTAAAAGTGGCACGAAAGCAGGATACATGGTAAAGTGATACAAATAGGACACGGGAGACAAGTGATACAAGAGCGACAAGTGTGGGACACGTGGAGCAAGTGTGTTTCAGGTGCAGAAAATGATACAAGTGTGGATGGGAAAAACGATACAAGCGGTTAAAAGTAATGGACAAAAGTGACAATTGATACAAGAGGAGCAAGCGTGAGACAATTGGGACAGGTCATATTTGAGACACGGATATATTTTCTCTTTTAAAACAGTAATATTGTAATCTGTTTCAGTTTCTTGTGATCTGAGTAATCATTTATAATTTATCTGCCACGCGCAACCGCCGTACCCCCTAAGTCAAAATGCATTACTGATTAGTTAAAAATATGGCTAAACAATCCGTACGATACCACGTTAATTCATGATTCCTCATTTATTACTCTGCATTTAATGTAGTTTAATGGGTTATTATGTTGAGTGCGTGTGCACGTATTTTTTGTTAATTTATACTGCGTTAAACATGACGATACTTCAAGAAAGATATTAATGTTTCAAGATGAATTGAAATGATGTGTTTTTAGCATTCAATTCATTCTCGTTAGCGAAGCGTATTTATTGAAGAGGATGATAGAAAGAAAGTAACTTTGACATTGATGGCATAGGCGGCTATGAAAGAAGGCTATACACAGAAAACGAAGGCTTGTAGCTGTCGCGATAACTATTAATAAGGGAAGCTGCTCGAATGACCTATTTTAGTGAATTCTCACACTATTAATACAAAGGGGTTAAATATCATTCAAATCCATAGTTACAATGAGGCCGGAAACACGTCATCCAAATTGGTCGATACGCAAAAAAAAGTTTACACAGCAAGCGCAGGCTTGTATAGCTGTCGCGATAACTATTAATCAGGGAAGCTGCTCGACTGGCCTATTTTTCATTGAATTCACACAAAGGGGTTATTAATACAAAGGGTTTAAATATCATTCAAACCCATAGTTTCAATCCACATTCGCTACAATGGAATGAATATTGGTTAGTTTATTTGTTACTGGGCACTAGTCATGACATTCATAGCATAAGTGTGTGGGATAAATATGATAAAATAAAAGGTAGTGCAGAGTGTTTTGATATCTTAAATTCAATAGGTTCGAGATTGAATAATATTAGAACAACATTTTTTTTAATTTTTCATCGGCACTTTAGACCATAGGTTCTCAAAGTGCTCCGTACGGAGCCCCAGGGCTCCGCGAGAGTAACCCAGGGGCTCCGCGAGCTATTCGATTACTTTTCAAAATACTGACTTGGCTAATTTAAAACTGTCCTTAGAAGCAATACTAGCTTTGATGAAATTTGACAAATATAGCCTCGAAATATGGCAAAGGGGCGGAATTAAAAAATGACATTATTTATAAGCAGGAGCGCAGCCAGGATTCTTAAGAGGGAGGAGGTTCAAAATTGGAATCGGAAATTTACGCGCAACATTCTTGACGATTAAAAAAAAACGGATAACGAGATCTCTGTTGCGTAAAATATTCAATTCATGACCGATGCGAGCATCTAAACTCTAAAGGGTCTTGTCGTAATAATTTAATTGTGCTCATCGTTACTCACATTCGATTCGAAATTACTATTAGGATTACTAAAATGATAAAATACTAGTCTAAAATAACATAAACTGCGTGATAAACTGCTAACTATAAATAAAATGGAGTCGTATTTTTGCGATCTTGGGATTTGTTAAACTTTATTTGTTCTTTCGCACTCGAGATTATTTTTAAGCAAGATGTCGCCGTTTGAAAAATCACAAGGTCTTGGCAAAATACGAACGATAGAAATTTATTTTAGTGCATGCGGCTCTGTCGGTAGTTTCAGAAAGGAAAAATGGTACATCGCACGCATAATTAAATGACTGTGTTTCAATTTCGCAGTTACTACGACGAATAACCGAAAACCTAACATAACACCAAATTTTATGATTTTCGATGTCTATAACAGCGTTTTTATTCTGACGTGAGTCTGCTGAAACAAAACTTATAGTGTTATCTTCCATTTTAAGTTTTAGTTCTAATATTTTAGAAGGCCGCTTTTTAATCAAGAAATTTGAATTGCAGATTTACCTCTTTATTAACTATTATTTTTAGCATTCCGTCGCCGATGATTATAATATGGTAACATGTTTTTCACATTGAACTCATAATTCCCCACGAGTAAGAAAAAGCAATTATCGTCGTCATTGTGGAACAATACATGCATATGCCGAAGGAAATTTTTTATTTAGGGAGAATAAACACCGGCGTAGAGATGTTGAAGGTTCAAAAACACGCCATGCTGACGAAAACAATCGGCGATTGTAACAAAATGCAATCGCGCACGTTATTAGCAGCCTTTTAAGTCTTCCAAAAATGTTAAGAGGGGAAAAGATTCGACCCCTAAATTATTAATATGTTTGTCATGTGTCAAATTTATAGCTTTAGTATATTATACAATTTATCTTTGAAATTTAGATTTATTTATGACTTGTATTACCCTATTAAAAGTGTTTAGTATTTAAATTGAGTAAAGTACGTTTAACTTACTCAGGAATATTAATCAGAAAGTAACAATTTTAACATTTATTTTGGGGCTCCGTGAATAATAGTCAACCTTTTCAAGGGCTCCGCAACGCAAAAAGTTTGAGAACCCCTGCTTTAGACACTACCGCAGAGAAATCGATTCGGTTTTAACGTACCTCAATGGCAGAAAATGCATGTACGAAGTTCAACGAATCCGGGATACTTTAAATTTAGACAGAAACAGCGTTTCATACTCTTCAACGAGAAGGTTGAATTGTAGCAAGGTGTTTTCGACCCTCTAAATGAGGTGTAAACTACAAAAGTTGTGTTTACTCGAGCCCGTGTATTGGAAAAAGGATGTATTCGGCTTTACTATATGTTCAAACTTTAAGTTCATTCAAACTGAAGATTATTTTGACTTAAAAAAGAAAAAAAACTGCCAAGAAAATAGTTCTCCCTCAGTTTTACTTACGCGATAAGCCTACATTTAGCAAACTGATAATTTACCTTTAGGTTTCTGACAATGGTAAGTACAATAATACTTATACAGATCGACTATATTTCTAGTTATTGCTAATCATGAGGTTTTATTGCTCAATTGTATTAGCATTTGCATTTCTGTCAATTCGTGTAAAATGTCAAATACCGAACGTTTACGAATTTTGTTCTGCTTTGATGAAAGACAGACCACCTAATCATTCTCAAACAGGATGTGGTAAGGAATGTCAGGGAAGACCAGGAAAAAGAGGACCAATTGGTGAACAAGGCCCACCTGGATTAAAAGGAGATCAAGGAATTCAAGGAACATGCGACGATGTAGAAGAACGCCAGAGACTCTTCGAAGGTAGTATCGAGGTGTTTATTTTCAATGCCACAATTACACTAATATCGGCAATGACGGAGCCTATTTCAAAATGAATTATTGGTCTCGTTTTCAATATCATTTAATTTTTAATAAAAGAATTTAAGAGTGAAAATAGAAATTAATTAATAAATGAGTTCTAATATTACTGAGATTTATTAAAATACTTTATGTGTGTATATACATATATATATTCTTATTCCTATATTGATCTTCCATACCTTTTAATACTTTCATTCTAAATTTACAGCGGAAATGAAGAAAAAAATTGATCTCATCCCCAAACGTGAGAAACTACCTACAAATACTATATTTGATTCTAACAAGGGAATTGTTCCATTTCTTTTGATTCTAATACTTGCACCAATTTCTTTATTCTTACCATACTAACAATAATAATTCAATATATATCTTAGTTTGTTATATTCAAATAAGGTAAAATATGTTTTAAAACCTAAATAATGTTTTAGAATCATACTGTTTTCATTATGTAACGTATTATCGAGTCTCATCAGCATTGGGTATCATAAGAGATTTATGCTTAACAAAATGAATGAAATTATTGTGGAAAATTATGTACTCCATGCATAAATCAGTGTTTGGAGATCCCTGTGTTAAAAGATTGCTGGACTTTACTCTGTCAGAGGGTGGTTAATCGTAATGTGGATAAAACCCGTAGAGTTCTCAACATTTGCCTTCTCATTTTGGAATGTTTTATAGAATCAGGAGTTTTTCTAAAATATTTCCTTTGTTTTTGCAGTGTCCTATTGCTCATTGGGAATGAAAAGTAACGATATTCCTGACGAAAAGATCACAGCATCTTCGTTTGTTGATCACCGATTAGCTCCACATTTTGCGAGATTGGACAGTAGAGTTAGACTTTCAACAAGCTCAAAGGAAATGACAGAAGTTGGATCTTGGTGTCCGAAAACAAGTGCTTTCAATTGATTTCCTAGACATGCGTATTCCATTTGTTCTTCTGCTTTTAGATAGACCATGGAAATAGACTAAAATATTATGTAATTAGAATGTTTGGTGATGATTAATATTTCCGCATTCCACATACTTTCACGCAAATGTACATTATTTAGGGTTCCACAAAACGAGCAATGACTCGTGGGTGCAAATTTGGTATATGATCTCACTTTCTCACGTGATCTCAATTGCATAAAACATTCTCGTATTCAGACCCTAACCCTAAGTAAAATCCCTGAATTCTCATATCAAAGTACCACCGTCTTTTGTCTCGTATAAATAACTTAAATATCAACATTTACTTTATTTTTCTTACACCGTTCTTGGGGAAAATATCTCGTTTTCTCGAATTATGCAACCAA